AAAATATTTTCTTCTAAGTTGCAGTAGATACAATCATGAAGAAGGTTCTCCCTTCCTTCCAGGGGCTTTTAGCACCTATTTACTTCCAGCTTGGCCGCTGTGTTCATGGGCATGAAATTCTTCTAGACCGCAAAGGAATTACTCTGCTTGTCAGATTAATGGAATAGTTATTAAAGGCCTTAGGTTTATATTGACTGGATGTACAGGTAGCATTTTGCAAGTGTGAAGCAGGTACTTCTGCAATCAGCCTTTAGACTGAAAGGGTTGGGAGAGCTCTTTTCTCTACTATTCGGTCTTGGCATTTTATCCCAAAAATAGTGCACAGGCTTTGGGGTGCAGTGGTACTTGGTGTGCATACATATTCATGGGATAGTCTGAACAAGTGCCAGAAGGGCTGACATGTTAGCTCCAGCTTTTCTTCCTTATCTTTCCCTGCTGCACCATCTTTTTCTAGCCTTCGTCTGCAAACTTCCCACTCCTTTGCTTAATTGTGGCAGAATCATCTTCATATTATGGGGTCATCCGGGCCCTGATTTCCAAATATAAGAGAAAAATATTCTTTCTTTCATGGTTATACCTATTGCAGGTTTGAAATTTTCTTCTTGTTCTTTACCAACTTCAAAGGCATTGCATTTTTGATAAAAACATGGTTAATGTCAGACAGCTGTGGTAGCAATAAAATTTCATGTTTAAAGAAAAAAAAAAAGGGTGCCTGACAAACCAACATTGCCCTTCCACAGTATGATCCCTATTCTCTGTGGGGTGTCAAGGACCAATGCTTTCATAACTCTAGATCCCAGTTCTGTGTATGGGATGCTAATTCTACCTACTTGCAGCCATGGCTTAATTGAAGTTATGACCAGTCTCTGTCATCCATTTTGGCATCCATGTGATTCTGTGGCACTTTTTGCGGCTTAGTGTTTTCGTGCCTTCAATGCCAAGAAAAGAAATTTGTTGGATTTGAGATCTCCATGCGCAGACAGCATGTGATGGCCTTGAAAATGTCTCAAGCCTATCAGTGTGGGAATTGGGATTAGAGATTCTGTTATTTTAGCTTCCCTGGGTTTCCTGAATTTGAAAGACTCTAATTTAGCTTATAACCCACTTTTATGCTGTTCCCGTATTCTCCACAGAGTTTTAAAGCATTTTGGTTGCTGTGAAAACTATAACAGTGAACATTGTGAGCTTTTACTGTAAATATTGATTAGGGTAAGGTAGTATTATTTTGGGGTCTTTGCCCATAAATTGCGTCATATTCTGTTCCTCTCAGGCTTATGCAAATATTCACAATCAAAACAGGGTACCAAAGCTGGAAACCCACCTCACAGTGTTTATATTCTTCCTATAGTGATTGGTTTTGAGTTTTATATCCAGTTAGGGAAAAGCATATGGTGCTGTGGCTTGTTATTTTGGTATTGTTTTACTAAGAGAGCTGCAAGCATCCACTTTGTCATAATATCTGCCACAAAAAAAATGTGGGAAATGCTTATATTAATAAGATATATATGTCTGTTAGAGATTCTGCAGTACAAATGAGGGTGATCTGCATAAATAGCATCTTTCTCTGTAGTTCATTAGGAGAGTGTACTGTCAAGGCAAACATGACTACTGACAAAAAGGAGAAGCACAGMACAGGCAGGAGCCACTTAAAGAATCATATCTAAAAAGTCCAGGTTCTCAACAGGACTTCAAATTGCCTTTCCTAAGTTGAAGAAGTGTCAGCAGCACTGTCTCTGTCATTTATGTTCTGCTCCACTGCATCCTCTTTAAATGCAATAAAGTTATGAAGTTGCTTAAGTGGAGAGAATCTTTTGATTGATGTTTAGGCATTATACATGAACAAGTTAATGACTATGATCCTCCCAGCTGGAAGTTTCTAACACTAACTTACAGTTTCCATCAGAGATCAAAGTAATTTACTAACATAAATTATTTATACATAGGGCTGAAAGAAATTAATAATAACAATAAGGCATCTCCATGGGATAATCACCATACCAGCAGCACTCATCTACACCATGTAGCCCTGCAGGGGTTTGTAATTATCTCCCGCAAACCACACCTCTAGTGATTGTTTTTTGTTTGCTCCATTGCAGTGCCGTCACTTCTAGTATTTTGCCTGACAAATACTTGTAGAATTTAAGAAAAAAAAAAGAAGTGTGGCAGTCACGCAAAGAGAAAATATTACAAATGTGAGAAGTATTTCAGACCAACAAAAAAAGTATTAACTTGATTCTGGAGGCATTTAATGAGGTGTCTGCGCTTTTTCTTCAGGTTATTCACTGGAATGAGCCCCTCATCTGCTGCCATTTCCCATGGCTTCCTGGTGATCTATGGAAAACTGGCTGTTCACGTGATGCTACCTTCTTTGTGTTTCCTGCAGCTAAAATTACATTAGAAGAGGCTAAAAAGGCATTAAATGCCCTCTTAAAATTACTCTTCTGTGTAGACAATTGCAGTGTTTGCACAGAAGCATAACATGATTAAAAATGGAGAAGTGCTGACGAGAGGTGCTGGTCTCCGTGGCAATAACTGAGAGTGTAAAGTACTTCCTTCAGCTACTGCTGAAGCACTCACATCAGAAACAGCAATCCTAACTATTTTGTGCTTACTAAACACGCTCTAGTCTCAATACAAGATTACCAAAAAAAAAAAAAAAAAAAAAAAAAAAAAAAAAAAAAAAAAAAAAAAAAAAAGCCACCAAACAAATCTTTTTAAAAAGGCAGAAATTGAAATAAACAAAAGATTGAAAAAAACCTTAAAAACATCCACTGAAAGGAGCAATTAGAAGCATGGTATTGATTTAGAAGGGGATAAAAGTTCCAATGCTGCTACAGCTAAAGCTCTGCCTAATGAGTCTGGAGGAGAGGCAGAGCCCTTGAATATGGGGCAATATGTGAGTACAAAGATCTCTAAGATGGAGGGAGTAGAATGAGCTTTCATATATACCTTGTGCAGTCTTCTTAGAGCCCCATGAATCAACAGGCAAATTTAAGCCAACTCTGCAATGTAATAGAGCAGTGAGTGTGGAGAACACCAGGTGGCTGGGTGTGCTATGATCATGATAACACAATCAATAAGCAATTGATTTCGTCGTTCTGAACAACCTGCAAGTGATAGATCAACTTCACTGTTACCCTATCCAGTGTGGACTTCCAAAATCAAATGTCAGGTGCACAGGAGCATGTTTTGCTGTCACTGTGCCGTTTGAAGCTCAGCTCAAACCAGGCTTGAGCTATGCGGATTGCATGGCTGAAATCCATATTTTCATTTTCTGAATCTCTGCTGCTGGGACTTGTGACAGTATGTGCRGTCAGGGAGGAATAGTAAAGACTTTCATGGCAGTGCAGTCCATGTTATGAAAGACATGTTGGGTTGTTCCAGTTATGAGTTAGAAATGTATATTTTTTGGTGTTTGTGTCAGTCCTTTTGAACAAGGTCATAATACCATTCTACCCCTTCTGGATCAGATAGAGGTCTCTTCCCAGCTTCTCACTTTACAACCCAAAGAGTCCTAATCCACTTACATGTTCCTTCTGCAGAAACTGTCATTACCTTGCTTATTCCTGCTGCTTTCCTTGGAATCTGTGCCAATTCTACTATATCCTTTTTGAGATGAGGAGGACACCATGAGTTTTCAAGATACTGGCACAAGTGCATTCTGACAGCATTTTTATACAATACACACATTCAACATCACAAGTTCTTTTGCTCATTCTGTCTGAGCGTTTCTTAACCACATATAACCCTGTTTGTTCTCTACGTTTCCAGGCCACTGCTGAGCTGGTATCTGGCAGGGAACTATCTATTACCATCCCTGGATTTCAGTCCCAACTTGAAATAATCAGTTCAGAATCTGTCACGTTATAGATAAAGTCCTTTGCATGTGGACGTGTCTGTTCTGTAGGAAATACCCACTACACACATGAGCATATGAGCCAGTTGCTCTCAGTGGTGGCTAAGAAAAGAGTGGAACCAAAGAGATACAATCATAGAAATGTACTTTGTACTCTACTCTCAGAATAAATTGTGGAAGTAGACATATACCATAAGAACTAATGCTTTGAGAGAGAAACATGGCAGCCTGAAATTCTTCATTGTTCCGTTTGGTGTAAGCTTATCCTTCTTGCCTCAGAAGCAGCCTTGTTAGCCCCCTAGGGATATTATGGGCCTTGAAGGGAAGGAGGAAAGCTGCTTGGATCATCCTAGTCATAATTTCTGAGCAATATCCTCTCTCTCTCATCTACAAGTCCCTATCTCTTTTAAAACAAATTTGCTGTAATTCTGTACATCATCAGCCTTTCCCTCTTTGCCAGGACTGTTAGGAAAATATTAAGCAATGAATAGCAAAAGGCTCCATTTGGCAGGATCTCAGATGATGGGCTGCAAGACAAAACCAAATCCTTCCAGCTATTCTGTGTATGAGGAGGGATGTGCTGTGTCCTTTCATGGTCTATATCTGCCTTTTTTATTCTCTTCTGACAGATACAAGATAAGTCTATTTTTTTATATGGAATATTTTTGCTTTGTGGTTTTTTTTATACTTTTTGCTTTTGTGACAAAGTGTGATGAGAGAGATCCATATTAATGTTTCTCAATAAACAGACTAGTAGCTATCTATGCGTGTTTGTTAATTGATTTCCACTGAAACACAGCCTGGAGAAAACAAAACAATCTCCTGGCTTGGTTTAAAGAACAAACAGTATTTGTGGGAGCTTTATTGTCAGGGATGAAATTGTGAGCAGTATGGCCTACTTTGTTGCCAGCACATATCTTGTCTTTTGGTTCCATGTAGGAGAGTTGCTGCAACAGACTTGAGGTTATCAAGGATTTAGTGTGGACAATCTGTGGAAGTTTTCTCCATATTGTTCTTTTGATTGTTTTCTTTAGCGGTGTGAGTTGGAAAGGTAATCCTGCTGATTTTCTGCAGGGCTTTCAAAATTGCCTTTTTTAAAAGGTAAAAAAATGATCAAAACATCATGTCTTGTTTGCTTTCACAGCAAGAAAAGCTGGGTGATATCTGCTTCTCCCTCCGTTATGTGCCTACTGCTGGCAAACTGACTGTCGTCATTCTGGAGGCAAAGAACCTGAAGAAGATGGATGTCGGTGGACTATCAGGTACATGTGTGAGAATCTGTTTGAAGATTTTGCAGGCTTGTAAAGGCAGAAAATCAACTAGTTTTCGGCTCTTGCTCACTGTGTGAAAGATGTGGTCTGTGTTTTCTTCAAAGTTAGGGCATGACTGAGTATATCAGAACTCATTCTAACTTTAAAAAAAAAATCACAGTACATTGCATTCCACYCCAAGACAGGGTCTGAAGTGTTAAACACTCAGATGACAATGCAAGCTCTTTGTACTTTTCTTCTCTCCTGTTGCYTAGAGATAAATACTGACTATTCAGGCAAGACAAAAAAAATCTGACTACAATTCCTATTGTCTGTTTAATCTCACAAAATGCAAGCGTTTCAGTGCAGTGTTGCTGATAGTAGGTAACAGAGGAGCTGGCCCCATGTTACTGTGCTGACTGCTGTTTTAGGTGCTGGAGGATTGTTTCTCCGTGGGAAGGGCTCAGGTGTGATGGCTCCCGCATGCACAGTCAGAGGTGCTGTGTGTTTGCATGCACACCAGCGATCACCATGGCAGTGCTGCAGCTCTGGTGGCACTGGAGGTGGCACATGCAGCGTGCTCAGTGCCTGCAGAGTCCTCAGAGCCCTTCCCTGGGTGAGGTCGTGCATGACACACTGTGTGACATCTCGAAGGGAGGCTGCAGTCAGCACCGTGGCACCTGAGCTGCATCCCAGAGGCCTGCTGCAGCTCCCTGTAGGTTTCTGTTCTCTGCCTCCTCTGGCATTTGGACACAAAATTACTGTCTAAATTGCCAATTAGCTGAGACCAAATTAAATTACAAGATGCTTTGTAAGGTGAGGTCTCTCCAGGAGAACTTTGTTTTGTATGCCTTCTGCTTGAAAGGAACAATTTCTGCCCACCATTGAGAATGAGGCTATTTCTAGCATAGTTCTAGGACCCAAAACTTTTACAGCTGCCACTAACACCAAGATTTTGAAATTGCTCATTTTGATTTAGCAAGTGACAAGAAATAAGTGATTTGGCTTTTATTTTTTCATAATCTTAGCACAAAGTAATGGCCATATGCAAAATAACAGAAAATGGGAACTTGCTAAAAGCAAGCCTGAAGGTTTTATTTACCACTCTCAATGAACAATAATTGGAGGACCTTCACATAGTGAGGGGGAGCAAAGTCTTTTATCCAGTTATACTTTGGTTTTTGTTTTACTTGCCTCTAAAGTCATCCACTGCACAGCAACAGACATAAAGTAAAAGACATACAAATGTTATTGTAGTCATTACTCAGTAAWTTTTCTTGTCCACAATGGACACTTGATTAGGACACACCACTAATAGTTTCCCTAATGCTCATAATGAACAAATTGCAAATTAATGTTCTTAAGCATATTTATTTCCTAATGGTTTCCTAATGAAAGATTAGATTCTCATAAAGGCAAAGTGTGGGGATTTTTGACTGAGGGTTAGCTCTGACAGCCAGAGCATCTGTATTCTTTTCCAAACTTTGTAAGAAATGTGATGGGTGATGGGTACTCAGCTGACAAGAAATGAAAGAGAGGAACAGGGGAAGCACTAATGAACTGAAGAGCTTCTGCAAACTTCAGATGTTAAATATAGTGCATTGTGTTGGAAATAACTATGAGGAAATGAATGGGCTTACTTTTCTCCATGTTCTACATATATATCTACAGAGGATACTTAACTGTATTTCTAGGGAAAAAGTGGTTTTGTTCCCCTGTTTTAGGGCCGTGCCAAACTAGAAACATCATGTTCTCTTGGAGACAAACACACCCAATGGGATACCATAGTTGTAGCAGGAATTCAGAAGTCACTGACAGTGATAAGTGGCAGTTAGTATGGTATTCCTGAGGCAGTAATTATAGATTAAATCATGTTGGTTTAAGTAGATCCAGTATCTTCCATTAGGGAATTTATCTTTTGAATAAACTATGCAGAAGCAACTTTGGAAATCAAACTGAGATCTGTTGTAATTATTCACACTAAATAATACCCACTCTCTCAGTGCTAATGAAGGTGACAGGAATTTATCTTGATTAGTAAATATTTCTCCCTAGTTTTGTTACTTTTCCTAGATACTAAAATTGTTTTTCTATTGTAAAACTGAAAATTTTGCATGATAGTGGAGGTGGGAAAAGGTTAACAATCAAATGTGAACTCAAAGTGAATGTTACCTATATATTCAACAGCACTTACTGTCACCAAGAGAAAGCCATTAACAAGAGGTGAAAAATATTAGTTGACACATTGGGGGAAAAAGCTTAGCAGTTTGTCAAAAACAGGCAAAAAGTCTCTTGTTTTGAATTTGGAATATGTCTTTTAGTTATTCTTTCCTATTTTTGAGAAGATGCTGGAAAAGCAGAAGACAGTTGTTTGGACAGGCTTGTGCTTTTCTCTTGCGCCCATCTTTTATGCATCTGTGAAGTTTACCCATCTCATAGAGAGAAGGAGCAAGAGATAGAGAGAGCCCTGTTACAAAAGTACCCAAAGCAAGAGAGATTAAAGTCGATTGAGAGCACTACCTTTCCTAGAATTTTTACAGGGCCTCAGTTGGTGAACCTTAATCCTCCTAGGCAGCATCTGTATCATACTTAATGGTTACTACAGCTTTAAAAAAAAMCAACAATTTTATAAAAACATTTATTACCAGCATTTTTCATAAATTTCATTAGCAGTCAAAAGCCAAACATGAATTACTTTGGAAGCAGACAACAAAAGACAACAAACTAATAATCAAATTCATTAGACTTCTTGTAACAAAACCATATCACCCATCTGAGCAATAAACTCCCAGGTCTTAAACTTAATTCAGCATCAGGCTGTGACTAGAGTAAACCTTGGCTCAAACACTATTTAGCCTGAGCTCATCAAGTCACTGCAACAAGTGGAAATCATTACTTCTGGTGAGCAAGGGCCTCTGGCAAGCGATTATGCATTTACTAAAATGGCATTGTAATTATTTAAATGATACTCAAATGCATTGTTAATGAATCTGACATCTGGAAGGTGATGTGTAGGAATTTGGTGGTCTTGGGTGGCTTTATAAGCATCCTTCACCCAAAACGTCTGTGAGACTTAAAAGCTTAGGTCTTTCAGGGAGCTTGGACTCCCAAGTTGCTGTGTTGGTTTTGTTCTGTTTTAATGTCATTTAGGTGATTTGCAGAATTGGAAGATTTCAAAACAAATTTATAGTTTAATCTTTCCAAACAGTCCTTAGAGACACAATCCAGCTAATTCCTCGATAAGGGCATGGTGCAGCTCACCAGTGCCATTCAGTTCACAATGGTTGTCTCTTAGTTATGGTAGTTCATTAGGTTCACGATCCCTTGTGCTCCAGAAAAGGACAGAAATTACCTGCAGCTCTCCTATAAGATACTTATTTAAATCAAAGTAATACTGGTTTCAGATACAGATTTAAATAAGTATTAAAATTTAATCTAAATTCATTTTAATTTGACTTGTAATTTTGACTTTCTTTTTAAATAAAAATTGGTTGTGTAACCCTCAGTGCACTTGAGTAGTGGATGAATGTGGTCTGTGTGATAAATATTGTGCTTCTTTTTACTAAACAGGAGAATTTCAAATACATATAGGCATTTGTGCAGGCAGTTCTGTAGATTTCCATGTATTTAGTCATACCCTGCATTTTTATTCAGTTCTGTTCCTAACACAGAATAAAAACTTTTCACTTCAACTTTCATCAGCTTTACCCTGCTTTGTCTAAGCAATTGTTGAAATAAATTGCCTGAGTACAATGAAAAGCATTTTCCCTCTGAACCTTCAGGAGTGTTTGGGTCTGGCTCCTCAACAGGCTTTTGTTAAAAGATGTTTGGTCACTCAGACCCTTCAGCTTGAGTGCCTTGTTTTGGTTTTGTTTTTTTTTTAAGAACTTCAGTGTATTACGGTAAAATACTGATTTGGATCAAGAAGTCACCTTTTAGTAGCTGATAATAAGTGTAAGCCTTAACACATCTTGTCATCTTTTCAGGCTTAATTTCAGTATGGTTTATTCCTTCTAAAAATCTTTGAAAGCTAATGTGCTTTTGTTCTCTTGGTATTGTTTTAGTGAATCTGTTTACCAGGAACCGTATCCTAGAGGCAAACAATGCTCTCTCCCCTGACACCCTCAGTGCTATTGCCTCTCCCCTCTCCCCAGTTTCAATGGGGACTGGATGCTCTAGCTGGCATGGGCTCAGCTATTGCCTTAGGAACTGTTGCCAAGTAACAGACACTATAGCACACCCCAAATTGTACTGTTTAGTGCAAATTAATGCTGAGAAAGGGCTGCAAGGAGAAGAGGATTGTCATTGGATCCACATGCTCTTCCTTCTGCAGAAAGCTGCAGATAGAGTTGTGAAAAGAAAGCAGCCCATAATTGGGCCCATTATGTGTGGAAGCTAATCTCAATATTTATCAGTTATAAATAGAAAATACACAGCACCCCTTTGTATCTGCCAAGTAAATACTCTGAACCATCTCTGGGGACCAAATGGTTCTATAGCAGAAATACAGCTAGTTTTCTACAATTTTAAAGGCTCCATTCAAATTCAAAAGGCTTGGTTGGATGTCTTAGAAAACAATTGAGAAATTAAAAATTATTTAGAGACCAAGACTTTGAAGACCAAGTGAATGCTCATAAATTATGCAGTCAGAGCATTAACTTTAATAACTTCATTAAAACATAAGAAACCTTAAAAGCTGGCTAACACGAGTGCAATATTGTGAGAAGGGAAAGACACCATTAATGCCATGGTATTGCTATAAACCCTATTGTAAGCATAACTGAGCAAGTATTAAGGGAAAAGAAAACAGCCTTATTAAAAGATAAAGTAAAAATAAACAACAAACACTGCCATCACAGCTGTATTTTCAACTAGCCTAATTCTAAGGAATCCAGTAGAGATCAGTACCAACAAATACTCTAAGATTTCTACTTACTGTAGAGGATTTCTCAGTCCCTACTGCACCAGCAGAACTTCCATCAACAGATGGCTGCAGCAACGCATCTCTGACA